AACCAGGCACAGCTTGGATTTCATCTCAGAGACCTTTTCCAACCTCAGGATTCTGGGATTCTGTAAAAAGATCCCTTAATKTCTCTATTTTCACACTGCTCAGAGAAGCAGGCTGGTCATTGGGGATATCACCTGTGTCCACATTTCACACACAATATTCAAGGATCAATTATCAAYCCCACCCTTACCCAACCCCAGTGCCACGACCCTGTGGGAGACAGAGGAACTTTGTCAAGTGAGGCTTCAGTGAGTTCAAATAACACCAGATTTGGCAATTGGAAGGAAACAGGCTTTGCTACAAAATGCTATCATTCAAGGCAGTGAAAGACTCATTCTTCACAGTCTTTATACTTTGTGAATTAATTCCTGTGAATTAATTTTTTTTCCATTCTGTTTATTATTTATTTTCTCCTCATTCACTTTCCCCTTTCTCAATTAGTACAATTCAGCTTTGCTGAAAACATGGAGGTTTGAAGAAATCCCAAAACCACCAAGGAGAAGGGTAAAGCAGAAGGAACAGTGGGTCTGTTTATTCCTAATCTCCTGCTCTGACCAGTCTTACACTTGAGGCTGCTGCAAGATGTGTGGAAAGGGTGATACAATATTCCTGGTGAATAAGGATGCCCCAGAATTTTAGGGAGGAAAAGGTGACATGAATCCCGTTCCTGGATGCTACAACRTCCAGCCAGGTCCTGCCTTCCTGCTCACTGAAGGAATAATCAACCTTTAGCTGTTACAGCTGAAAAATAAAGACTTACTGAGCTTGCAAATAATTTTCCCCCAAGTGCCATAAATYCACAGCTGCGGATTGCTCTCCCTCCATCCATAAGGAATGCTCTGTCACACTGCTCGTGCAATTAAAGCAGCAATCCATTAGCAGCTCCAATCAGCCAGATGACAGGCAGCCTCTCCTKGAAAGATTTAGGGTGCTGTGGGGTCCATCCCAACCCGGAGAGCCTTTGGGAAAACATTTCTGCCCACAAAGAGCTTCTGCCTTCCCCATCAGTGCCTTATCACAGCATCCCTGTCCCAGCCAGACCAGCCATGGGCACTGGGATGATCCCAGACCATGGAATGAACGACCATGGGGCACTGGGATGATCCCAGACCCTGGATCATGCAGCCATGGGGCACTGGGATGATCCCAGACCCTGGAATGAACAGCCATGGGGCACTGGGATGATCCCAGACCCTGGAATGAACAGCCAT